CTATATCAACAATTGTATTAAGTACATGTTTATAATCCATTAATTATCATACAATTTCTTCTTAAAGAAAAAAAATCATTCTGTGTGTGTGTTTTATTAAATGACGGAATTTTCCATCCCTGGCCGGATTCTGCTCGTGTGTACACTTGGTAAACTGTAGGGTATATAAAATGTGTAGCAAAACGAGAACTGGGTCGGAGATTCGGGTTCGTGTTGAAGTCAGCATACCATTTTATACAGAACTTGAATTATGTAAGTAATTTCTGCGACGATTACATTAGCATGATTAGTATATTTCAGTAATTTTCAAAACAAAAACGTTTTCAGTTTAGAATTTTCCGACCCGGTCCTGATTTTCCTAACCCGGCCATTTTAAACACAAGTTGTGCAGATGCAAATGATAGAACAAACTATAGTTCAACAGGGATTGTATAATTTTTATTAATCAGAATTCTTATTCCTATGATCTAATTAAGAAAAGTTTTGTCTGCCATGATCGTAACTTCTCGGCAAAACAAAACGTGTTTCTCCGAGCTCGCTGGATGCGTTTGACTGCTCCATCGCACGTGTGTAGACCAAGGCTAATGTTGGTCTTGCGGACATAGGTATGTGTACTGTTTGTTAGGACACTGGGTGACCGTAATGCTACGGACTCACGAAATGTACACCAGTTCCATAATTAGACAGTGCATTTTTTTTTATTAAAGTCATTATAAACACTGTTAAACATATTAAATCTAAAAGTCGAATATCTTTGGATATGGGGTAACCCATATCTATTCTTGTTATCATTGAAAGGGAGGCATGCGAATTTCCTTTATGTGCTACTTTTCAGCCTTTTGACCTTCACTCTATAATTGTGGCACTGATCCATTTACGTTCCTATGAAAGTACAGAAATAATGATGACGTAGAAAAACTTGCGCGCCACCTAGCGTTAATTCAGATAATATATTTTTTTTGCACGCCATCTAGCGACAATTCAGTGAATAATCGTTGGTTTTGCATTGGTGCTCGTTGGTCTCGCATCGGAGTCTGTTGATTTTGCAAACGAGTCTGTTGATTTTGTTTTTAAAGTTGTCTGTTTTGTATTTCATTATGTTTATAAAATTAGTTGTTAGTTTTTCATAAACGTCTTTTTTACCCTTTCCGCCGCCCATACACTTGCAAGATAGATTGGAAATATTAAAACGTTAATTTTTATCAGTTCTCTAAGAAATACTGGGGTATAGTCCTCTGATTATACAAGTATTGAATTCAGAATTTCAGTCACAAAACAAGATCTACAATGTATTAAATGTAATTTCTAAGCAATAAGTAGTGTTTTTATGGATTTACAAACACTAAATACAAGTTCCTGAGTGGGAATAAGATATGAAGTATCCCTTCGCTCCGAACTATTTTAGCGAGGGTAAAATGTAAACAACTGGCTATAGCAGAGATCGTGACCTACATGTATGTGTATTGAACGTCGATCGCAGGCAAGGGAGAGAACAGAACAGTATACACTAAAACAAAACAGAGAGAAGCGTTATGCTTGATTTGAAACATGCAATTTAATGAATTTGGGGTTAACATAGAGGCGTCTGAAGCGCAACAGTCCCTATTGAGTTATTTGATCTAATTTCACTTATACCTATATATAAGGAATTACTAGTATTTGTGGAAAAATGAGACTGGGATCAAGAGTGAGCTCATCTAAGTTTTATGGCCCAAAAGCTTGCATCTGCAATTTCAAAAACATATGACATGTACATTATTTTCTTTATCGTATATTCATATATTTATGGCAAATATTCTTTTGTTAGCATTTCTATATTTGTATAAATGAGCATTGCCAAACCTTCTAAATCCGTCACTATGCCCGAACTCTATTACTTTCCGGAAACTCCATGCAGTTTGTAAATGAGAGCGATTGTGTCGTAATTTATACATGCTGAAAATCTACAATCACATTCAAAGCTACTATAACAATCAAGATCAAAAAAGCTACAAAACAAATTTACACTAATTTAATCATAGGTATCATATTTTATGTAAAATCAGTAAGCATCTTTTCCACTATCTGCTATTCCATCGAAACTGCGTTAACATTGTCATTTTTACCTGTCAGTCATTTTTATTAAGGTTTATTACAAAGTTCATGACTACCATGTTGAACAGGGCTAAATTATTCATTTTTTTAAATATACAATTGCAGGAGTGTACTACACGTTGTGATAACGTAAGTGGCAACATTTTTACATGTAAAATACGTTATAAAAACGTTATTTGTGTACATTGCTGATACCTTTCTAAACATGCAACTTAATACTATTTGAAATCTTGAAAACAATTTTTCATGTTTAGAATTTCAGTAAAAGGTATTAAAAGATTAACTAGAGGGGATTCTTTAACACGTTGGCATATTGTAGAGGACCCTGGTGACAGATTTTTGTATATACCAGTTACTTGGGGGTGAATTTCACATTTTACTGGAATACGTCACCTCGATTCAGTACTTTCAGTACTTTGATTTAGGTGTGCATTAAGATTACTAGCTTTATCATGGCACGCCAAATTCACAAAAATGAGCTAAAGCTAGTTTCACAATTGATAAACTAGGTTTATCGACTGTAAATTATAGTTTACAAACCGTAAACTATAGTTAACGATTCGTTAAGTATAGTTTTCATCTGTAAAACTATATTTAACGGTTGTTAACTATAGTTTACGAATGATAATCTAGGTTTATCTGTCTGTAATAAGCGTTAACAATAGATTTTGTTGATAAACATAGATTCACGTTTGAAAACTATAGTTTACAATCGTAAACTATAGTTAAGAGTTGTTAATCATAGTTTCACAAATCGTGAAACTATATTTATCAGATCGTTAACTATAGTTAACGGTTTGTAAACTATAGTTTACAAATCGTGAAAGTGTATTCATCAGATAATCTATGTTTTGCAGTCGCAAATGATTGTTTTCGGTGTTAAGTATAGCTTACGGTTGTGTACTTTTTTACGTAGTTGACAGTGAAGTATATTCTCATTTCTGCTACCATATACATGTATATAGTTGAAGTATTTACAACTGCTAGAGAGTTGTTTTATTTTTAGTTTTGACTTGAAATTTGATAAAGAGGGTGACATTTTCACATCAGAATTAAGATAATTCCACAATTTTATAGTTGAAGGAATAAAACTGTCATAGTATGATACAGTTCTACATAATGGTAACGAAAGATTATTACGATCTGATCTCAATCTGTAGGAGTGCTGCATTGGTTGGAAAGACTGTAATAATTCGCTAAGATAATTAGGGGCAATACCATGGAAAATTTTATAAAATAATATAAGTCTAAGATTAATTCTTTTCTGATACCGTATAAGTAGAATTTTTAGCGAGGATTTAATTTTGGCGAGGGTGCTGACATCGCTAAAATTGAATATCGCTAAAAAATTATTTGCGTATTATTTGTAAAAGCAAACAAAGTCAAAAGGTGTTAAAAAAATTATTATACCTCTACTGATTTTTCCCTTTATAAAATCAACTGATTAGATCAGAACAATTTCCTAGAAACGCTCTGAATCGGCTAATCGCCGTGCGTTAGTTTTTTGAGCTAATCCCTCGATCGAAAGTTAGCCATTCTAATTCGCGGTTTTAGTTTTTCATTGTGGCGTCATAATAGAGCGACGCAAAAACACAACGCTTCTGATGTATTTCATAATATAACAAAATAAGACGTAAACAACAAACAGAATGCAATAGGCCTAGATGCATTTGAATTATGGAATAACTATCTTTTAATTTGGTATTTACGACGAATAATAATTAGTTAATCTGTAAAATAAAAAAAAAATATATTTTTTTAAAAGGTGATCTTTACAATTTAAATTTGTATCGGTATAATAAAACAGATATAGTATATGATTGAGGGAGTTAGCAAGATTTCAGTTCCCCTCTACTAGCACTATTTTCCTCGGCGCTCTGCGCCTCGGGAAATAGTCCTGGTCTTGGGGAACCGGAATCTCGATAACTCCCTCAATCATATACTTTAACTGTATAATATTTACAGAGGAATAAGTACATTATCCCAGGGCACTAATTAGTATATGTAAAAAACTAACACAAGCTGAAGAGGTTGTAAACAAAGGGATTAGAAACCATTGGACTACTCCAGTATATACTTATTTTCATATGAGTTAAATTCATTAAAAATTAAAATATAGATTTTATTTGTACACTTTACAATTCAAAGCTTAGATTAATTTGATTTAAATTTTTAAAAAAAATGAAAAACAGCATTATATTTAAAAAGCAATGTACTTAAAAAAGGAAATATGAATACAGTAGTAGTAGTATGTTAAAATTCTTTTTTAAGAAGTTTTAGGCCTACTTTCAAAATATTTGGTGCAAAAAATCCGTTAACCTTTCTTAAATAATGATTGTGAAATGGAGGGGGATGGGACTATTTTTCGTTTAATAAAAAAAATCAATGTAATTGTGAATTACATGACTTTTTAGAACGAATTAATTAAGTTACAATTACTTGTAATTGAAAATTTGGCCAATTACACATTACTCTCAATTACATCGAAATTTGTAATTAATTACAGAACATTACCATTACATATTGCCATTACCCCATTCCTGTTTACGGGGGGTATAAATTGTTTTCCTGCGCTTGCGTAGGTTAAAGTTTTTGCGGACAAGCAGACAATTAAACAGACAGACGGACAGACAAGACAAAAATTATATACTCCCGAAACTTCGTTTACTCAAAAAAAATCTAACGTTAGGCCTATATCTCTGGGAGGGGACAAAGATAGGGTCAGTCTTTGAATGATAACATCTATGCTAAATATTTTTTGAAAAAGGGTGGCGTGCGACAAGCCTTTCATAATTGTGTAATCAAATTTAACGTTTCCTAACTAATATTTCTCCTTGGTCACCTATCTTCAAATTAATTCCTTCGGGTTCGGAATGTGAATAATATTGGAAGTTCGGAGCAAGTATGGCGGGGGTTCGAAAAAAGATATAAAAAAATAAATAAAGTAAACAGTAGAATTGCTGAATGTATATCGTTTCCAGTGATCACACTAGCAAACCTCACCAATATGAGATTGCTCAAGCCTTCGTGGGTCACACATGACGGTGAGTTATTTCCTTGTTTTGCGATAAAATATCGGTCAAGTGTGCCTCTATTATTTGCATCTGCGTTGCAGGACAGGTGCATGACAGACAATGCAATTAGGGCATATTTGTTAATGGTGAATTATCAGTTGAAATGCATATTTTTTTCTTGTTTTTGTTTATTGATCACCAATAAAATGTAAAGGAAAACACGTATTCAGTGTGGAATTCGTTGGTTTATGAAAATTCAAAAGATGCAAAATTAGTGTTTTCCTTATAGAACAATATTTGAGTATTTATCACTATTTATACAATTCTTCATGTGACAACTTCTTCATGTGACAACAAAGGATAAATTATACACTCAATGAAATATGAACTTTGCAACAAAATAAGCATTCAACTTGTTCAACAGAATTCTTTTGGAATTTCTTATAATTTATTGTAGAAACAGAGAAATAATCATTTTATTAATGTATTTACATAATTACTTTGATTAAAGTTTGTATAAATGAAGTGCAAAACAGTTGTCATACTCAAAGGTGGGCAATCTGTGATAATGATTTCATTTCACACACTTTTAAATACTGGCACCATACAATCCGTGCAGTGATTTTCTTTTTTTTTTTCCTATGTATATGACTGATACATTAATTTTAGAATCATTTTTGCAATAACTTCTATACAGAAAAGTTCAAAGTAAAGGTATCTACATGGAGTTCAATCAAGATGTTGTACATGACAGATAACTTTTTATAATAAAGAACGGTTCTATTAAGAAAGATCATTGCATGTAAATGATGTATACAATTTTTGTGTCGCAGGTAAACCAATATTTTCCATTGACATTCACCCAGATGGTTCAAGATTTGCAACGGGTGGTCAGGGTAAGTTACCAAACAGTTAGCTATCAGTGTAAAATTTACTTTTGATTATGAAATTTAATTGATAGCATACAGTATGTATTAGCTATATAAATGTACTAGGTAGTCCTAAAACAGTAAGCTCTATAAATGAACTGGAACTATGGTAGTTGTGAATTTTGCAATGCAATACATTGAATCGAAAGAAAGTGATAGGAAATTTTGATTCATTTAAAATAGCAAAAGAGAGGAAAGATCTATTCTTTTTGAAAAATTATAATAAATTGTATTAATTAAGTGAGTACAATTAGTTTGATTAAATGTTGAATATGTCAATATCAATTTGTAAGTTTCATTTGTTTTCAGGGATACATTTGGATATTATCTTAGATAATGAAATTACATTGATTTTCTTTTTTACATCAGTTGATACTGAGTACATTCACTTTGCAGGAGATGATTCAGGAAAGGTTGTCATCTGGAATTTTGAACCTGTCAGAGATGAAAAAGCAGAGAATGATGAAAATGTA